GGAGGGATGTATACAGCAACGAGCAGTATGGCTGTATATTCCCTCGGTAGATAGAATGGCCAGCACTTAATAATCATAAACTCCACCAGGGGTGAGCAGTGTCAGCATTTTTGAAGAACTGAGAAATGACTGCCTAGAGATATAGTCTTGTGTCAGGAGACCAAGAAACTGATATAGTGCTGTATACTGGAATGAAATTTGGCCAAATGTGCAGAGGATGCTAAATTTACTTTTTTTAATGTGTTTTGTTACTGTACTGTATTGTGGTGCAAGCCAAGTTCATACAATTCTTTGGTATGTGAACTTTTCTAGTGCTTTTCATCTACTGCAAGATTACTTTTTACAGTAGTAAAATGAAAATGATTTTTTCCCAGAAGTTCATTGCTGAATTATACATCTGTATCTGTATCTGTAATTTAATGTATGTATACTGTAATAGACATTGAGCTGCAACAATTCCTGAATCCTAAGAGTATTTTGTTACAGTGTTATTGATCTCAGTGTTCACAGGGCAGGAAAGTCATCTGTTTATTTGAATAGTAAGCATTTACAGTTTTTTTCAACTGCTTAACACTAAATCTTTACATATGCATGGGGGCTTGCTTTGGTGCTGCCACCCCCCATGCAACCCCTTTGCCACCCTAAAAATTATTTTCTAGATCCGCCCCTGCTCCAAACACAGAGGATCAGCACAATCAGTAGACGTGTGTGAAATAAGTATATTTAACGTGTTGTTGATGTGTTAAAATTCACGTGTTTTTGACCCTTTTGGCCTTCCATAATTCCCAGCATGTGAAGAAATCATCTGACATGACAGACCCTGGAGAACTCTGTGAGAAATATAGAGCAATAACTAAAACATATGATCAATATTTGTGTTTTTGATTGTTCTCTGTTTGATTTAAGGTTTTCTAGCATTATACTTGAGAAAGTTTCAATGCAGGTTAATCTTTAATGCATTTTATTGAAATGTAACCTGAAGGAATCCTGCTGTTGTCAGACCTGTTTAAACACCCAAAGGTGATCAGAAACTCCACCCTCTTACAACACTTACCAGGAAGAGACTGACTTGTTATTTCTCCTTTCTGTCACTGATTTTCTTCTCTTTGACAAAAGCAAACAAGAATCAGCCATCAGTGGACAACGAAGAGAAAGACTTTGAAGAAGCATTTTTGGGAAGTTTGTTTCTGAACAGACAGCAGATCTTTGTGATTCTCGAGGTTATTCATGTTTGAAACCGTCGTTCAGAAAGTGAGAGTAAAGTTTAGGTTGCTGGAGCTCAAACAGTGAAAATGGCTCTCTGGAGAACCAAGAAAGCTCAGGAGTGTCCCGTCTGCAGGAGAAGATCCTCAAAAGATGAACCTCCATTAAACCTGGCATTACAAAACTTGTGTGAGTCGTTCTTGAAGGAGAGAAATGAGAGCCGTTCATCAGGATCTGAGGAGATCTGCAGTTTACACAGTGAGAAACTCAAACTCTTCTGTCTGGAGGACAAACAGCCGGTGTGTTTAGTGTGTATTAACTCACAACAACACGACAATCACAAATTCAGACCCATCAGTGAAGTGGTTCCTTCATATAAGGTACGACAAATGTCTCATATTTCATATGTAAAGAACAATAAGTCATCATGAACACAGATATCATCACATTCATGCACTCAGAATTACTCTCTGCCATTTTACTCAACTTCATGAGACTTAGGCCCAATCCCAATTCTATTTTATACCCCTTCCCCTTGTCCCTTGAAACAGAGTGTCAAGGGGTAGGGGTGAAAATATTCCCCTAAGAATTGGGACACCACTACTATGCCGTCGCACGTCATCACACGTCGTCTAGCTCCTACAATACACACACCTATACTGGTGTGCTGGTGTGCATTAGAGCCTTTAATAACCGTTCTATATTAATGCGCTGCTTACTGACACACACACATATATATCGGATATCGCGCAGATCACACATCCAGGAGAAAAGAAACTTGTCAACGCTGCCCCACGACTTTTATAAATAACTGTTTAAATACTGAATCGCAACATTATATTTTCCAGCAATGAAAGGATATAATCGTTGTTTTTGAAGTAAACTCACTCTAAAAAAGAGAAACACACAGATGCGCATACACGCAACTTTCATCTCTCTCTCTCTCTCTCTCTCTCTCTCTC